AAACTACAAAGGACCAGATCAACAAGAAGATGAGGAAGAAGAGATCGTAGTTCAGCAAGAATCTAAGGCAACTAAAGATGTGCAGAAAAAAGATGGGCCTACTGAAGCAGAAGTGAAAATTACCCCTCCTCCTTTTCCCTCAAGACTGAAAAACACGAAAAAAGAAAAGGAAGATAAAGAGATTATGGATTTCTTCAGAAAGGTTGAGGTAAATATTCCCATTCTTGATGCAATTAAAAAACTACCCCGATTTGCTAAATTTTTAAAAGAGTTATGTACTTCAAAAAGAAAATAAAAAGGAAACAAAATAGTTAAAGTAAGCGAGAATGTTTTAGCTGTTTTACAAAAAACGCTACTCCCAAAGTGTAAGGATCTAGGAGTATTTACTGTTCGTTGCAAGTTGGGCAACCTTTCAGTGCCACGAGCTATGTTGGACTTAGGAGCTTCTATAAATGTTTTACCATATTCACTTTTTAAAACTATCGGGGTAGGGACTTTAAAAAGAACAGGAGTAATCATTCAGTTAGCTGATCATTCTCTGGTACACCCAAAGCGTGTGCTGGAAGATGTTTTGGTTCAAGTAAATGAGCTCATATTCCCAGATGATTTCTATGTTTTGGAAATGGGAGATGACGACTCACCAAACTCAGGTTCCATTCTTTTGGGGAGACCATTTTTAAAAACTACCAGCAAATAAATGTTTATGAGGGTACTCTTTCAATGGAATTTAATGGTGATGTTATCAACTTCAATATTTATGATGCCATGCGCTATCCTGATGATGTTTCGGCCCTCAATTTTATTGATGTTACTGAACCACTAACTGTAGAATATTTTGAGATTGCTAACCGTGAGTCACGAGCATTAGTGCTCCACAAAAAATTGTTTATTAATACAGCTCAGGTTATATCAGAAAATTATGTGGTTGATAAAGAAGTTCAAGAGATGGTAGCTCATATGGATCAACAGAGAAAATTGAGGTATGGTACCTAAACTCTTAAATTAACAATTTCTAACTCCAAGATTTTTCCTTCTGTAGTGCAAGCTCCCATTTTGGAGCTGCAGACACTTCCAAAACACCTAAAATATGCATATATTGGAGAAAAAGAAACATTACCAGTTATCATATCCAACAAGCTGTCAGAAAAAGAAGAGTTCAAGCTGATCAGAATTTTGAAGGAGTATAAAATTGCAATTGGGTGGACTATTGCAGACATTAAAGGACCCAACCCATCTCTTTGCATGCAATTTTTTTGATGGAAGAGGATTATAAGCCATCACGAGAAGCCCAACGCAGATTAAACCCACCAATGATGGAGGTGGTTAAGAGAGAAGTTATGAAGTTACTAGATGCTGGGTTGATATACCTAATTTCTGACAGCAAGTGGGTCAGCCCAGTTCAAGTTGTTCCCAAGAAGGCTGGGGTGACAGTGGTAGAAAACAAAGAAGGAGAGTTGTTCCAACTCGGGTTCAGAACGGATGGCGTGTGTGTATTGACTACAGAAAATTAAACGCAGGAGAGGCTTGCTGGAAAATCCCACTACTACTGCTTGGATGGATTTTCAGGTTTCCATCAGATTCTAGTTGCTCCAAAAGACCAGGAGAAAATGAGTTTCACGTACCCTTTCGAAACATTTGTGTATAGATGTATGCCCTTTGGACTCTGTAACACACCTGCTACCTTTCAAAGGTGTATGGTTAGTATCTTTTCTTAGTATGTCGAAAATATCATAGAAGTGTTCATGGATGATTTTACCATCTATGGAGACTCCTTTGATATTTGTTTGAAAAACCTTACAAATTTTTTACCAAGATGTATAGAAACAGACCTGGTCATAAATTTTGAAAAATGTCACTTTATGGTTGACCAAGGTCTGATTTTTGGACATATTGTTTCAAAAAGAGGTTTAGAAGTCGATAAAGCAAAAATAGATGTTATAAAGAGCTTACCCTACCCGAAGAATGTTCAGGTAGTGCATTATTTTCTTGGTCATGCAGGGTTTTACAGGAGGGTTGTAAAAGATTTTTCATAGATATCAGTTCCCATGTGCTATCTGTTGCAAAAAGATGTTGAATTTGACTTCAATGAAGATTGCAAGAAGGCTTTTGATGTGCTGAAAAATCTTCTTACTTTTTCCCCCATCATTCAGCCCCCAAATTGGAGTTTACCATTCGCGCTAATGTGTGACACTAGTAACACTATTGTTGGAGTTGTTCTTGGATAGAGAAAAGACCGGGTTCCCCACGTTATATATTATGCATCAAAAACCTTGGATAATGCCCAGGAAAATTACTCCACCAAAGAAAAAGAGTTGTTGTCAATCGTTTTTGCATTGGAAAAATTCAGATAATATTTGTTGGGCACGAAAGTTATAATCTTTTCTGATCACGCAGCTATGTGGTACCTTCTTGCCAAAAAAGACTCAAATCCAATGTTGATTAGATGGATTTTGCTGCTACAGGAATTTGATATATAGATTAGGGACAAAAGTGGGAGAGAAAATTTGGTAGCTGATCATTTGAGCCGACTCACCCCACCTGAAGGCCCTATACCGATCCACGATACATTACCTGACGAGCATCTATTGGCTGTTCAGAATCCTCCGTGGTTTGCTGATATTGTGAACTACTTGGTCTCCAGAGCACTCGCTTCAAATCTCACTCGAGCCCAGAAAGATAAAATAAAGAAGGATGCGAAAAAATATGTTTGGGACGATCCGTATCTATGGAAACACTACGCTGATCATGTGATTAGAAGATGTGTACCTTAAGATGAAGTCAAGTCAATCCTGAATTTCTACCATTCAGAAGCTTGTGGAGGGCATTACGGTCCACAATGAATCGCACGCATGGTCTTGGACAGTGGTCTTTATTGGCCTCATATTTTTTGTGACTCTTATCTATTTTGCAAAACTTGTGAAAGGTGAAAAATGACTGGGTATTTCACATCTCGTAATCAAATGCCACTTACTCTGATCTTGGTATGTGAAAATTTTGACATTTGGGATATAGATTTCATGGGTCCGTTTCCGCCTTCTTTCGGGTTTGTGTACATCTTACTTGTTGTGGATTACGTGTCCAAATGGGTCGAGGCAAAATCTACACGAACAAACGATGCCAAGAAATTGGTCGATTTGTCAAGAAAAATATATTTGCTAGGTTTGGGACACTAAAAGCCATTAATAGTGATATGGGTACGCATTTCTGCAACCACACCCTTGAAGCAGTACTCAAGAAGTATGGTGTCACACATTGGGTATCCACAGCATATCACCCGCAAACCAATGGGTAGGATGAAGCTTCAAACAGACAAATCAAGGGTATTATAGAGAAAACCATCAATCCAGTCAAGAAAGATTGGAGTATTCGATTAGATGATGCATTATGGGCTTATCGGACAACATACAAAACTACTATTGGTATGTCACCATATAGAATTGTTTTTGGCAAACCTTGTCGATTACCAGTTGAATTGGAGCATCGAGCATATTGGGCTGTCAAAAAGTTGAATATGAGCATGGATGGAACTGGTAAGAAAAGAAGATTGGATATCCAAGAGTTAGAAGAAATCAGGAATGATGCTTACGAGAACGAAACAATCTATAAGGAGAAGACGAAAGCGTTTCACAACAAGATGATCTCGCGAAAGGTATTTACTACCGGTAAAAAGGTACTCTTATATCACTCTCGTTTCAAACTTATTTCCGGTAAATTGAGGTCTCGTTAGGTGGGACCTTTTGTTGTTACTAACGTGTTTGATCATGGTGCCATAGAAATCAAAAGAGAACAAACATGAAAGACTTTTAAGGTAAATGGCCATCGTCTCAAACCATTTTACGAAGGATTTCAAGTTACAAATGAAGAAGTGGAGGTAGTCGAGGTCCCGACTTACCGAAATTGAGGAAACTAAGTAACAATGTCGAGTCAACGACAATAAAAACGAGCAGCTTGACGGAAGGCAACCCGGGCGTTTGTTTTGGTTTCGTTTTTGCATCTTCTTTTTAATTTTTGTGTGTTTTAGCTACTTATGTCGTTTTCTTTTAACCGAATCATGTTTTTAAAATAAGAAGGAAAATAGAGAATTTGAAATTATTTGAAAAATATAGTTTTGAAGGAACTTGCGACCATATGCCTAGTCTTTGCGATCGCATGTTATACATTTCGAGGTCGCATGTAGTCATCAAGTTTTTTTGGAATTGTTTCACGAAAATAGCTAACCTGCGATCGTAGGTCCTCAACATGCGATCGCATGTATCAGTTTTTTTACCAACGGTACTTTTTGAACAATAAAAAAATCGATTAAAGCCATTTTTTAAAACTTGCGATCACAGGTTCCCTACCTGCGATCGTATGTATCAAGATCTTTTAATATTACCGTTACTTGCCTCGAAAGAGATGACCAACGGTCAAAATTGAAAAACCTGCGATCGCAGGTTGTGTTTTTTCTATATATACCGATCGCAGGCCTCATTTGTAGCCACCACACTCCACAAATTCTTTCTGAAATCCACTACATTTCGAGTTCTTTCACTAACAAACACCCAAATCTTTCATTTTTCTTCCACATCAAGCAAATAAGGTATCTGTGTCTTCTATTTTACTCCTACAACATCTATACAATCTATGCTTCGTTAGTGATCCGCAGGCCACAACAAGTAGAAACGTTTGCTCACGATGCAATTCAGAAGAGATTCATCTGAACGGAATTTCAAAAATCAAAAAAAAAAAAAAAAAATCGGCACAAAAAATATACTGCTGCTCAGCGTACAATCATGTATATTCGTTATGAAACTGAATTTATGTTTTTGTTATATATTTGTGCGGTCGTTTGGGAGTAGTTAGAAATACTTATTTTTGCTTTATTATTATTATTATTATTATTATTATTATTATTATTATTATTATTATTATTATTATTATTATTATTATTATTTTCTTTTACCTGGAAATTATGCCTTCCTTGTCCCGCTTTTGACCTGAAAAACAAACAAACAAAAAAAATGCACCATAGACCATCTCGTTCACGCAGACATGGTGACGCCCCACATCCATCATACACTGTCCAGGCAGACAATATCATGGTAGATTTAGGTTCACAGGCCACACTTGACTGTTACCAGTGTCTTCTCGACCGCGAGATTATGTCACAAGCCTGGCCCCCTAGCCACACACTAATGCGGCAACTCCATATTTATGATGGTGTTCACGCTCTTTTTGCTAATATTGGCTTGGAGCGCCTATTATCTGTGTATTTTGCCACTTGTCCCCTACTGACCCGAGGGTTTTTAGCCACGCTTAGTGAGATAAATCATGAGGGAAACCTAGCTTTTCGCATTTTTAGCATCCCTCATACTATCCACGTAGACCAGTTATGTACTATCTTCCATACCCCCATCACCAGTTTATTCCAGCCCACCCCCGCTTTTGATGTACGTGAGTTTTGGTACTCCATCACTGGTTTGCCCTCTTATGATTCAACCTCATCCGTACAGACTAGTATCGTGCACCCTGCTATTAAAATTGCATTAAAAATTATATGGAATATCATTTATGCACAGCTTGAGACTAAAAAAGCCGACAAAGCCGATCTTTTTCTTTTGTGTTGCATGATCACCGGGTCATACCATCCACATTTTGGTGATATTATCATCAGACGGTTCCATAGAGTTATAGCCCTTCGCACCGGCGATGTAATTCCCTGTGGTGGTTTGATTTCTATCATTGCCCGCTCCCTCACGCCGCAATCTCCTCTAGGGTACACCTTCTTTACAGGTGATGCTTTTCGTCTGACCCTACAGAATCTTCGGGCTATGCACATGCTTCATACTGCCCCAGGTGGATATGTTTGGATGCATGGTCACTCCACTTATTTCAAGCTCACTGGCCTTGATGACATCGCCCTTGCTGACCCTATTAGCGACACTCTGTGGGTTCTTCAGTCGAACATCCCACCACCTTCTCGCCCATGTAGGGCACAACAGGTCTGACAGCCACAGTCTGATCGACCATCTTCGTCCACTCATCACCCAGATTACATGGACACCACACCTATTTCCTTTAGCTAGCTTGGTCCTATGCAGACTGACTTTCAGGATCATCCCCCATCCACCCATCCATCTCACCCTCACCCCGACTCTCCTTTCACTTACCAGCATTATCTTGACCTCCGTTAGGATATTGCTTCCCTTTAGCAGACTATGACTGGTCTTCGCCTTGACTATCTGCTATATATCACTTAGGTTACCGACTATCGTGACGAGCTCTTACGTCTGCACGACGATTTCACCGACTTCCGCGACGATTTCTTTCGTCGCTATACACCCCCGTCAGAGTAGTCGCCTTCCACTCCTCCCTAAGCATTGAGGACAATGCTTACATTTAAGCTTGGGGAGGGGATTTCCTATCTTTTTGTAAAACGTTTTTATTTTGTCATTTTTATAACATTGTAAAAAGTTTTTATTTTGTCATTTTTATTTTAAAAAAATCCAAAAAAAAAAAAAACGTAAAAATCCAAAAAGATTTTTCATTTATGTTACTTTTATTTGTCATTTTATGTCTTCCTAGTTTTATTTATTTATTTATTTATTTATTTATTTATATTTTAATAATATTTTCATTTTGTTGCATTCCGCATTCAAACAAAAATTATGAGATGATGACACTCTTTACATACGATAGCTCCATGAAGTGGGATATTGAGAATTGAAAATGAAAAAAATTTAAAGCAACCTGATTGTTATTGAAAGTGTAGAATCAGCTGTCATAACCAGGGGACCCAAGACACCGTGATTCGAGACCCCGACCTTAGATAAAAAGAATGGCATACAAAAATGTTTTTTGGGCGGTAATAACAGCTCTAGGATGATTTGCTTATTAATGTTTAAAAAGAATCTTTATTGGCAACTCTGAACCCACAAAACATGGCCCTATTTGTTGACACACGTTACCCTCGCAGTAACAGAGAGCTTAAGTATCGTATCCACATAGTCAAAATGAAAAAAGGGTACAACATTATATCTAGTACCCAAATCAACGAATTTCAAGTGCTCAATTGAAGAAACTTCAAGAAATTCCAAAAAAAAAAAAAAAATATTGAAGTAATCAAGCTCAAAACGGAGTGTAAATCAAAGTTCAATCAAGTTAGAAGCCGTTCCAAAGTTACATCTTGCGAATAAAGAACTGTGTGATATGATACTTATGGCTCTCGAAAAAAGTGAAAGCGTAGAGCTCAGGCTCCTACGGGGGTTGGCCCTTGCTGCTTCGGTAAAGGTGATTTGGTCATGCGGGTTCTTAAGGATGCGTCGATTCTGATTCTTGGCCAACTACTCTTAAGGACATGAGATCCGGACTATGTTATTTTCGCTCATAAAGCTAATTAAGGTACAAAGTTGAAATAAAACTAGAGTTGGATTATTGGGTACACCGTTTTGTGGTCTTCCTTACTTTAGGAGTCTGTGATACATGGAAGATAGCAGGATGGTTGCTTTGGTGTTAGTGATTGGAGCCCATTATCGATGTAAAGCCTGATCGTAAAATAATATATATATATATATATATATATATATATATATATATATATATATATATATATATATATATATATATATATAAAGTAAAAAAAAAAGAATTTAAAAAAATCATGTTTCATTTTAGTTGTTCGTTTCTCATTTGCATATTGTTTTTGTTCATTGTTCATTTTCTTTATTTCTGCATGCATATTTTATGTTTAGCTTTGATAGTTTTCATTGTTTAGGTTGTCGTTTTCGAGTTGACATGTGTCTAGGTTATTCCTTTATTGCCTTTAGCCTCAATTCCAATTCCAACTTTATCGTTTCCTTACTTGATGGCATGTAAGGTCTAAGCTTGGGGAGGTTTGTTAGATGCATTTTATATGCATCTTTTAGCATAGTTTCTTACGTATTTGATTATAAAAAGCTAACTAACTCCCGATTATTCTTATGTATTTTGTGTTTCATGATTATTTTGAATAATTCTCGACTGCTCACGTTTGTTACGACTTTTCAGGGCCATTTGGAGCACATGGATGATTGCGCAAGTTCGGGATGCGTTTGTGGATGCTTTGGAGCTTAATTGGAGTCTAGACCAAGGAGGGATGCCGGGAAATGATCAAGAACTGATTGAAAGGAGGAACGAAGATCAAAAGAGCTAAAAAGAAGTAACATGCGATCGCAGGTATGCGTTTGCGATCACAGGTTGGGTCGCAGGTTGCCTTCGAGGTTTTGTCGAGCCAAAAAAATTCATCAGCTTATGAAAAGTGTTACATGCGATCACAGGTTGTGCCCTTGTGATCATAGGTTGGCCAATTTGCGTTGAAATAGCAACGTACTTCATTAAAAAGTCCTGTGACTCGTTTCGGGTGAAACTTGCGATCGCAGGTTGTCTCTTTACGATCGCATGTACGTCGTTTTGACAGCTAGACGTATAAATACACCCCCATACTCTTCTAGTAACCCTAATTGGAGATTTAGAGGCGATTTTCAGATGTTTTCAAGTGAAGAACACAGATCTAAAGGAGACGATCCTTATTCATAATTTAGTAAGATTTATCGTTTAGATTCTATTTCCACCATTTGTAATCCGTTTTTAGCCATGTTAGGCTAAAAACTCAGATTTCAGTTTTGCAAGATGTAACCTTTTTGTACGATTAATCATTAGGCAGTATGTTTGACTATGATTACTGTTTAGTTTGATCGATTATGTGTTAAATTGAGTGTTTGATTTTGATATCAATTTCCGTTGGCCACTTAAATTGTTTGTGAATCATTCTAGTCTTCTAACTGTTTAGATATGTAATTGTCTTGATTAATTAGTAAAAGTGACATATATTAGATTAATTATGCATTTAGGGTTAACTCTAATATGAAATGATCAAACAAGTTTCAGCGCCTCCGAGCTTATGAGAGGTATTGAACTTTACTGGGAATTACACCGTGTGTAATGCAACTTTTCTTTATTAGTCAAGAGCTTGTTTGGTTAATTTAGTAAAAAGTTAGATTTAATTCAAAGAGCTTATTTTGATTAAATGGTTTTTGTAACAAAGGTCATTAGAGCTTGTTAATGAACCTTAGTACCAGTTTGAATAAGTGCATAGTCAAATATTGTGTGAATGTTAATTACATGATTAGGTTAGTCACCGCGAAACTGGAATTGCTTTCTCCCAATTGAATTTTCATAATTTTAAATTTAGTTATTTTCTTATCATTTTCAATTTCTATTAGTTTAATTTTCAGAAATAAAATCCCCCTTTTTATGTTTATTGCATTCATCAAGAATTAGTTCATACCTTACAAAAAGAGGTGTAAACGTTAGGACGTGTCCATGAGGATCCGACCTGCTTACCTGTACTACCTATTAGTGAAATAAAGTAGTTTATTTTATATTTTTATTTGTTAAATTTTGTACGATAGTGGTCTTAACAGGTACACAGGGCGTACTAGGCTGATCAGCAAACTTACATTTTTAGGGTTTAAGCCCTATATAATGTCATTATCTGCCTTGAGACCCTCCCACCTTGAGCCTTTCATTCTCCCACTCAACTCCCTGCAAACCCTAACCATCATTTGTGAAATATTGAGCTCATTTTGGTGTTTGGTGTTCATCTTTGAAGGAATAAAGTGATTGGAAAGCTAGTGAGAAGTTTTAAGCATTGTAGATATGAGTTTTTCACCTTTCAAGCAACCTCTAGAAGGTATAAAGTTTTGAACTTGATGAATGCTTCACTAGATCTTTCTAGTTCTTGAGTTTTTGTGCATTTTGCTCCACAATCTTGGTATATATGATTATAAACTACTATAGACCAATTAAGCTGTCCTTTTAGATGTTTTGAGTGTTTGTAGTCATAAAAATATGATGTTGGTCCCTTTCTCCCATCCATGCAAGATTTATGAAGCTTAGGTTTTGGGTAGTAAGTTAGGGTTTGGATTTTAAGCATTTCTAGTCATGAAAAGTCATAAAGTTGGAAATTTTATGATTAAGGAGGTTATTTGGGACTAGATCCGAGTTTTAGACGTAAGGTCTTAATGGAATAAGCACTTAAGGAGAATATTGGAAGCTGGTCGAGTATGCAGAGCGTACAATAGGAGTACATATTGCGTATTGCTTTGGAACCATGTAATTTGGGGAAGGCACTCTTTACACCATGCATAAAGATGGAGCACAATGGTGTACTCAACTTGTGTTGACTTTTGACTTTTGACTTTAACCTTTTACCATGGATTTTAACCAATCATGACTTAAGGGCATGTTGGGTAATTTGAATACTGGTTTGTGATTGGGTCCTTTTTATTTGTACATGTAATTTTTAGAGGCAGTATCTAGAGCGGTGATTTGTTCATCTATTTTTCAGATTGTGAGGTAAGTTTTCCTCACAGTACTTGCGG